CGGAAGTAAGCTGCGCATGGGTTCCCTCGACAAAAAAGCAATGAGATTTCTTCATAGGATTTTAGAAAATAGCTCCAAATAAGATCTGTGGGAAACGTACCTTTTAGATAAATGCACGTTTTGTTCAGCCGGATAATATCCACATGTCTACCCTACTTTTATAAATTTCTAATCATAAATCTATCGATTAGATTTATGATTTTTCTACTTTTGAAAACTACAAGAAGATAAGGAGGACTTTTACAAAAAAAGTTATGGAGGATTTTTTGTCCAGGAAGGATAGGCAAATGGACTTCATCTTCAAGTCAAGGTAAGACCACAATTCTATTGAAAGTGGGATCTTACTTAAGAAGAGCAATCCAATATTTAAGATGATAAAAAAATAAAAAAATTTTGGGTATCCTTTCGTTGGACTGTCTTGTTTTAAAATTAATCGAAGCATCAGACTTCAAAAAGGCATTTTGAAAACATTTTTTTTTTATTTAGGTTTTTTGATATTAATATTTGTAAACCTGAAGAGGTCCAGTGCCAGTGCCTCACCAGCAGCCATGACCTCACTGGCAGAAGCTTATATATAGACATTTAAAGTTTTTTGTTGCCCCACCACTTTTGTACATATAAAAACGCCCACTGCTTCTGTCTAATGTTCCAATCGATTGAAATTAAACTAGGATTAACTCAGAGTCGGATTGCTTTTCAACGGGGACATTAAGAACTGGTAACTGTGTTAATTCTCACTGAGACTTTGGCTCAACCCCGCTTATCCCCGGACTCTGCCATTGTTCGCTGGACGGATTCACTATTTTCGACCAGGACAGTTAACTCGGGGGGAAAAAAAAGGTGGCGGTGTGTGTGTAATGACTAATAAACAACTGGTTGCACAGATGTGAGGATTATTTCTTCGGACTGTTCTGCTCATTTAGGAGCACCTCATATTACATGGCTGGGCATTTTCACCTGACCGAGAGAATTCACATCTGTTGTGATAACAGCAGTGTATATTCCGCCGTCGCCGACAACAAACACGGCACTCGATTCAAAGCTGTTTCTATCCCGTATAGGCTTCGGCCTCTAAGGCTACGCTATAATTGGGTTAATTCCCGCTCACCTGCGCAGCACTGAAACACTTGTAGTCCACCGC